AGGAGAGCGGAAGGTGAGAGTTTCTACGTAGTGGCGGGCAATCGACCGACTGCCAGACGACCGTTACTACCGTAGAATATTCACTCGTGTTCATGAACCCCTGGTACAATATTGCACCAAAAATCCTCAATTGTCCGACACTGTGTTAAATAAAATGATACAAATCTTAACCTCGAAAAAGTCTACCGGCTGTGTTGATTTTATGGGTATATTATTATCATTGATGTGACGTAAGTGAGACTGACAGTTCCGTATGTATATAAAAGCGCAAATGGTTTCTATTTTACAGGTCACATACTTTTAGGTAAAAAAAATATTGTAAAATATTTGACACATTGGTTACCTCTACTGAAATATCTTATCTGTAATAAAATAATAATATATTGTATTTTTATGAAACAAAATATAAAACAACTCATCGTTTTAATTATTTTACAATATTTTTTTTCCCCAAATGTAATTGTATTGTAAAATAGAAACCATTTGCGCATTAATATTGATAATATTGATAGCGGCCCTTCTATATTACTCTACGGTATTGTTTTAAATTACATACCTAACAATTTTGAAGCTAGTAAGCATTTAGACTAATAATTAGTTTTTAATTTGAATTAAATAATTCAAAAATAAATCTATGGCTTTTAATTATGTGCCAATAGTGTTATTTAAATAAAAATGTCACTTATATAATATAATAGATAGTGTATTTTGAACTTATACTTACTTATTTGAAAGTTCAAAATAGGTAATCAGTACCATACAAACATTATACATATATAATACTTCCTATATAAATACTTGTTGGAATATAATTAACAAAATAATAATAAACATCATAGTTCAATTTAAACCAAAATAAATAAAATGGTATTAGATTGTATAAGATGATTCCTAGTACTAAAAACATAATATTTTATTTGAACTTTAAATAAAATACTTATTGAAGTAAGTTTGTTAAAGCTTTGGTGTGAGTACAATAATTTTACAGATAATCAAAAGCAGTCATAGCTAAATTATAAATGTAAAAATGATTAACAGATTACATTAAATGAAATAATGTATGTATGTAAGTGTTAAAAATCGAATACAAATATTATAAATTATTTATTATAGATACTATATTGTATTACAATATGATAGATAGGTACACTGCTACCAGGAACCTATGAAATGGGTCGGTGTCGGCAGCGGCAATAGCATCTGTTAATGTTATTCTATATCATGCCGGTATAAATTCCGTACTTATCAATCGAACATCGGATATAACCACCAAATAATTTAACAGCCGGTAGACTTTTTCGAGGTTAAGGTTTTTATTTTTTTAATATTAGGATATCAGAACAGTGTTGGACAACACAGCATTTTTGCTGCAATCTCGTACCAGGGATTCATGAATATAGGTAGTTGTTCTACAACGGTGACGGTTAGTCGTAAACTCAAAACGCGATTGCACTCAGGAAGAGGTGAGAAGTTTGGATCATTTTTAAGATACGATTCTCACGTGTCAGTTCTTTAAATTGAACCGGTTAATTGGAACCCGTTTATCAGAATCGGATAATTTTAGATCTAAACAACCGATTACTCAGATACGAGTTAAAATTTGTACGTAGCCCCTGCTAACCGCCATAAATGGAACGAGGCGGGCGGATATGATATGATCAAGTATATCACGACTTACGATTCATGAATTACTACTAAAGACAGACGAGTGACCGGTTCACGATCCGTTCATATCGTTCATTTTATTCACTGCCGTGCCTAGCCCACATTGAATTTATTAAAAACTTAATTCAAAATGTTTGCCTTTGGCATATAGGATTATTATCATTTATCATTATCAATAGACAC